CCCACAATGGACACCTGGACGGAACCGCGGGAGCCGGTACGCGAGAAAAAAAAAATCCTCTTTCCAGTCGCCCCTGGACATCTGCCATCGATCGCCATTGCGTATTCGGTATTACCGAGGGTACCTGAACACCGCACTATGGACCACTGTCCATCATCGTCGCGCGGGCTACCCTAACGATCTCGTCTCCCTCGGCCGGAGAACATTTTTCAATTTATTCCTCGTTTCTCACGAGATCCGTCTGCGAGATTTTCGCAACAGTGAAGAGAGTACCCGGGAGGGTGCTCGAAACGGGCTACCGATACAGAGTTATGATAATTATTTCACGCAACCCTTGAGAACGAGATACGCGAGCGAGAGAATCACTCGAGGACTTGTTTTTTTTTTTCTCTTCACCTGAACCAGTACCCACTCCCGGGGCTCTCGTGTCTCGGCGAAAACAATAACTTGCATAATAAGCAGGACGAATAAAGAGGAACCTGTTTCTCGGGTGCCGAGGAGGGAGAGACGCGAAAGGAGACGGGGGTAGACGCGAGAGAAAGAGAGAGATGAATAAGGAGAAGTCGTCACCCTCTCTCTACAGGCGCAAGCTTAGCGCGGGGCGTTATGTCTCACGAGTTATGATGATCTTTTTTCCGGAGCCGCCGATACAGGTATGTTGAAATCTCGAGGCGGAAGGACAAAACGACGGACTAATAATGTATGCACCGTGCAGCTGGCACCGTCGTTTTGTTCTTCTTCGCGCTACAGGTTCTTGAATTTCACACACGTCGTTCGACGTAGGGTTTACCCCGCAGTTCTCCCTATCCTTGCGCCGAAACTCTTTCACCGAGCAACACGCTCTTTCACCGGTTCGCTCGGTACTCTTTTCCCGGCCGAGGAACCCCCTATTGTTTTACCTAGCGAGACCAGTTTTTGTTTCACTCTGTCTCTCTCGCCACGGCTTATTATATGCGCTTTCCGCGGCGCCCGATTGTGTTCCAAGGTTCGAGTGAACCCGATTCGCTCGCGCGGACCAGCAGGAGAAAGAAAACCGTGAGGGTCGGCTGCGAATCCGGTCAAACGGCAAAGGAGAGAACGATGGACAAAAAAAGCGATACAATAAAAGGGGTTAAAGTTGATACAATTGAGCGAGAAACGGCGACGTTGCACGCGTGATTTATTTTTACAGTCAGTCCCCCATCTCGCGCACGGGGGGTACCACACCCATTGTCTTTCACGCGCGCTTGCCAACCGGAATACCTTCGCGATTACTTAAAAACTCTATGCGCAAGCCTTTTTGTTCGGTGAAGTTCGTTACAACTAACGAACGCGTCGAGAGACGATTCGTTACCTCCCGATCGTTCAAGTGTTACGTTTTGGTTAGCCAAGCAGAGAAATCGCGTACTGACAGACACGCTAGACGTATTACGAAACGATATTTAGGTCGCGGTATAAAAATATATTTCATATCTTAAAAATGTCGATAATGTACAAAATAATTGATTTTTAGTCAAGTAATTCATTATAGTTAAACCGAAAGTCGACGTATGTCTCAATTTCTACACATGGACTTCGTGTCTCTGGATTCTCTTAAAATGATGATTAACGAAACTCTCATAAATATGAAAATTCTAGTTGATTCCGACACGACCGGATCAGAAATGGAGGTCTATACTTTTCTACGTAACAACGCAACGAGCAGACAGCGTGCGCCTAGGTTTGAATGAATAATTGTGTATACCGTGCGGGACTGTCGCAACTCGAAATTTAGTGGCACCGTACAGAACGCAACCATTAATCATCGAACCGCCTACTGACGCAACATCCCCTATACACCAACTCCGACACGAGATGGCATGTGACGCCATAAATTGCTAAATTAAAAGCCCGAAAGGATATATACAAAATAGTACCGGCGGGTCCCTCCTCTTTTTACACCACCCGCGAAATGGACCCAGGCATTGTTTTTCCTATTTTCTTATTTGCATCCGAATGACGCTTGCCGTAGTTTGCATACAGAGAGTACAAGGTATTGCGAACGGATCACACGAAATAATTTACACCTTTCGTTCATTCTACGTTGATTATCGTTGATAATTAACTCTTAAATCCTTTTAAGGAATTCCAAAAGTGTAAGTGTGAGTCTTTCGCTTCTGATGCAGTTTCAGTGACTTACAATTCTCAAAAATTCGTATCATACTTTCAAATCAGAAATTAATATTTTAAGACTGAAGTTGACAAATAATTTGTAAATAGTATAAAGCAGACTACGTGAATTGTAGAAAATCATCTATGAATGACAATTCCTGACACGTTTCATTATTAAACGTGTTCTCGCCGTCAGGAAAACGAAGAATCCACGGTTGCGTGTTCTCCATCGAAATTTGTCGTCGTTCTCCGTAATCCTACGTTACAGAGGGTCGTCACGTCTAACAAATCGGTTCGCGGACATAAATTGAAATGCTAAAAGCGAAATTGGGTAGGAATTAGGAAAAACGCCGCGAAATGGGACGATGATTACGCGGAGGAAAGTTGCAGCCGGGCAGCATTGACTCAGGAGGGCGGTTAGAGGGTCGCGCAGGGCGGTCGGTGGAACGGGGGTGGGTACGGAGTCGGAATTCTCTTAGCCCGCTTGTCAGGGGGTAGCTTGCGCTGGCCATCGAAGTCTATGGTGGAACACGACGAGGGTGAAAGAGAGGGTGAGAGCAAGCCGGGGTGGACTGGTGGGGCAGCGTGGCCCTGCCGTCTTACCGAAGAAGAGAAAAGGGGGAGGCTCGGCATAGGGAAACGCGGCGATGGAAAGGGAATGGTTACGGGGGTTGCGATGGTGGAGGGTGCTCCGAGTGCCGCGTAAATAACTTCCATCTTCGAGGGTGCAACCACCCCCTTTTTCCTCTGCCCCATCGGGGGATGGACCTCGGAACGGAGATCCGAAGAGGACAGAGAGAAGATTGAAAAAAGATGCGAAAAAAGAAAGTCGAACGAAGGTAAAGGGGGACCGACGGTGATTCCGTTAAAAGAGGGAGACGTAAAATATTCTTAATGAGCAAAGACTTTCAAGTATTGACTCAAAATGGCGGCCGTCCTTTCAAGTCGGCTTGTTAAGCATTATTCCGTGCCCTGCCCCTCTTCCCTCTTTTCCCTTCGCTTTGTGCGAATTCTCGTCCTCGCTCGTCCACCTCCTCACTCTCCGCCGCTTGCTTAGCGTGCCACGGTATCTTACGCAGGGACACTAATCCGTCCCGACCCCCGACTCTTTCGCCCGATGTACAAGACGCAAACAAGGAGGACGAGCAAAAGGACAGAAACCTGCGAAGAAAGGACGAGAAGCCGATGGCTTCGGCGGTAGCCTCGGCCGATCTTTTTGAGGTTTTTTATTAGGTCGACGAAGACAAGGAACCGAGAGTCCTTTCCACCAGTTTTTTCACCCAATGTCAAAGGAAACGGCTCACAATGGACTTGTTCGCCGCGCGGATGAACGAAAGAACCCCTTTTTGTTGCAATATTTACAAGGACCGAATTCACGGCGCCAACCACGTTCAGACGATTTCACGAGCACCGATGCGTGAATGCTAATTAAATTTTTTAAATGGCGGAGGGATCTCGATGTCTGTTTGCAAGATCTACAAACGACGTTACATATTTAAATAAGAAATCTACTACGATTCCCATATGTATAATTAAAATCCAATGATATCTGCACAAATCGAACAAACTATAGAATTTGATATTTTGTGAATAGTTGTACAGGAATGGCAGACAATACGCAAACCGAGAAGTTGAGTTAAATTCCGGTTTAATTTGAAATATTTTCCTACTAATCCACGATTCTTAATTCCGGTTAGCGGGAAGAAGGGTCGAACAGAACTCTCAAATTCTTTAACACTCTTTTCCCGGTGAATGAAGGCCATCGAGGCTTTTACAAAAAGGCTTTCGTACGAACGGATCGAGGAGTGGATTATTTAAGGGAGTCGGACGCGAGCGCGTAGCTCGAGGCTTGTTAGAAGTTGGCTTTCCCTTTGAGCCTTCGCGCACTGTTTCATCCTCCTTCCTTGCTGGTGAACCGGAATAAGGGTTAAAAATGTATAAGATAAGATAGAGAGCGGCGGTGGCGAAAGAAAGAGAAAAAGAGGGCCAATAGCTCGGGGGCAAAGGGGACAGTGAGACCGGTGGAGAACGCGAAACCGAGATAGAGAGAACTTTCATTATTGATCAAAGAAACGGAGTGTCGCTACCCTACCGAAAGGCTTGTCTTACTCAGCTTGCCTTCGGCTTCCCATTAAATATACCGGCGTCATCCAGTTTTCGCGACATCGCCACAATCCCGTCTTCCGATATCACGTCATATATCGATACCTTCGTTCTAGTACCACAGATCTGACAAAAATGAAATTCCACAAGAAAACTACTCTTTCTCTCTAGTTTTATATTTCATGTTATTCTTATATATATATTTATTTAAAGAGATTTTATGGCCTTAGCTATAATTGAAACATCATTAAGAATATTGTTTCCATTATTTAAGATCATACACAATCATGTGATATATTGCAACTAAATGTATTCTCACATGTATATGGTATAAAAATAAAGATATCTATACCTACGCTACTGCTGTTCGTTCTTACTCTTTCCGAATTATTTATTACCTCAGAAGCGCACAGTGAAATAATACAATTTTTACACTTATTGTTATTCACTTCACATAAAACCTCGTTTGAGATTGTTCCCCATTTCAATATAAATTCAGCAAAATAATTAATTCTAAATATTGACAAAGCTACGAGCGATTTTTCTCGTTAAGTAATTTTGTCAATTAAGATCGGAAGTTATTATAAAAGATAGTGCACGTAAAGGTGGTCTTGTACATGTAAATACAGTATGAAGACAAGATTTCATGAAGAAAGAGATCTTAAAATTTTAATAACTAATTACGATTTTCTTATAGGATTATGTTTTCTATCACTCGATATGCAATAATGTGTGTATGTGTGTGAAGATAAAATTTTCAAACTCACCGATGGCGTCCTTTTCAACAAGCGATTGTCGACGAAGTTGTAACGTAAGAACGATACCTATAAGGAGAGATTATAACTGAACATGAATTGCTATACGAATAATTTGAGACATGTACCAAAGTAAATTATATCTTGTTTGAATATTTTATGAAAATAATTATATCCTATAAAATATATCCATTCCTGTGAAAACAAGCTCTGAAAAGTCATGAAATCAATGTAACTCATCGTCAAGTTTTATTTTCAGTTATATTACTAATTTTAGATCAATTCAAATAAATCTACGAGTTATTACAGTACATTCCTCTGAAAACAAGCTCTGAAAAATCATGAAATCAATGTAAACTTGTAGCAAAATAGAACAGAATTACCTATATAAATAAAGAATTCTATCTCTGCTGCAAAACTGTTATTAATTAACATGCGAACATTTCTGACTGTTTGGCCAGAAAAGTACGGATTTTTTCAGTTCTTTCGTTACTTGTTACTGCATACTACTTGTATGTTACGTAACATGAATGTCACAAAGTTACTTTTCCAAAGCTTGTTTTCACAGGAATGGAATCAAATAAAATTATTTTATTTCATCGTGTGTAGAGACTTAGGTTTGCTTTACTTGGATTTATCTAAAATTACCAATATAACTAAAGAAGAACTTGACGACTACGTTGATTTCATGATTTTCCAGTTTGTTTTCAAAGGAATAGATATTATTTTGTAGAACGAAAGTATTTTCATAAAATATTCAAACTTGCCCAGTTTTTTACCTTTTATTGAAAAGATTTGTAGATTCTGCATCAAACTTGCCGAAATCTTGCTATTAGCAGATTTAGCTGGGTACTTACGTCTGTATGTACAGTAGCACGAAATAAATGGACTACGGGGCCTTCGACGCAATGCACTCTGTTCCACACCACTATGACCATAAACTACTGCTATGTAGACCGATACTACAGATTTCGCTTTACCATACTACGTTAAGAGACGTACAGACGCCGAGGAGAGATCTTAGAGCATATACTACTGGAGGCAGCACTCCGCTTGCCGAAGTGTAGGGGAG